TGGCGGGCGCCTGGGTGGAGACAGCCCGGGCAGCCAGGCCCAGAAGGTCATCATCTGCCATCGGGGTACCTGTAAGTACGTTTGCATTCAAGCTCAGGGAGACGGGGACGGATGCGGGGAGGCCTTGGAGGGGCTGGGTGAACAGACTGACAAGCCGACCGACGGACGCACAGATGGTCGGTGGGCACCGGCGACCTTGAGCGGGAGCTGGCTGGCGTTCCTCAGGTTTTTTTCCGCCACTCTGACCGCGGCTCAGAGGGCGCCCGACCACAATAGACATGCAGCTCCTGGGATTCCGGGGAGGGGGCGCTGGGGGCTTTCGGAGTGGAGGGAATGGGTCATTCTAACACAGTCTAATACGCATGTTCTGTGGAGGCGCCGGGGAATGGACCCTACTGGACTGGAGGGCTCCGCGGGGAATAGAGTTGGACACTCACGCTGTTTTCTCTTCTCACCTCCTCAGGGTCCCCCTCCCCCAGCGACCCGGATTATGGCCTCCCCCCCCTTGCAGGACATTCTCTCTCATGGACTGATGAAAAACAGCTCAAGGAACAGAATGTTATCCGAACAGCCAAAGTGTGGACCCCCGAGGACCCCAGGAAGCTCAACAGCAAATCTTCCTTCAACAACATAGAAAACGAACCGCCCTTTGAGTTTGTGTCCTGAGAAGTCCCCTCCTGGCTGAGGATCTGATTGTGTCTCTGTGCATGTTGCACATGTAAACGTCTATAATGTAAATGTAATTTAAGAATCACATTTTTCTAATGGCAATCAACTGTTTGTTATTTATCTATTTATTATGCTGGCAAGTTAATGAAATAGATTCTCTTTTTAAATATATAATTTATATAATTTATCCTGATTTTCTAAAAATATGCAATAGCCTATGATTTCCCCCCAGCACCTTTGGCAGAACGTTGTTGGAAGAACTCTGGCTAGAAAACTTCGTGCTAATTTATTGACAGATATGGTTTATTTCTAAGTGATAATAAATGCTATTTACACCTTTTCTAAAAGTTATTTGTTTAATACATTATGGGGGGGGTTAGCTATATCTTTAAAAAGGAGAATTAACTTACTTTGTAAAAGATAACCAAACCAGAGACTCAACGTAGGTATCTAGTAAGAAACCACATTTTAATGAGATTTAACTAAAAGGAAGTGGATTAGAGGGTTAGGCCCCAATTCTCTAAGAGCCTCCGTCTTCTGCATCACCAGCCCTAAACAGTGACTTTTGCCTGTATTTTTATCCCACCCATCAAACACTCTATGAGGCAAGTAGATTATAGTGTATTTATTTCCATTTTTCGGAGGGATAAACTGAGACTCAGAGATGATGTTTGACTTACCCAAGGTCACCCCTATCCAGCTTAATCATAGTGTATGAGCTGAATTCTCTGTGTGCGGTGAGAACAGGGGGCTAGTTTCGGGCCTGGCCATTGGAAGGGGGTCTTCTGCTCCCACTGGCTAGTTGCTCTTGAGCTTCTCTGTGGCCTGTCCCTTCTGCAGCTGCAGCATCCGGTACGTGGAACTTAGACATATTCCTCTTAACGGAGCTGGGGCAGGCGACTGTGGGTGACGAGGCCTGGAGGCCCCTCCAATGCCTTCCAACAAAATCCAGGGTCCTTTAGGTAAGGCAAGAAGGTGCATGCCCTCTTCCTCAGCCACTTCTGCAGCTGGGTTATTTCTAAAACTGGGTTTGCCTCCAACAGAATTTCGTCTTCCTTAGCAAGCAGCCTGGTCTGGGAGGAGGGCAAGCCTCGAGCCGAGGGCGGAGGGCCGCCCCCTAGCGATGGGAGAGGCTCGAGGGTGCGGCCCGGGTCGCCACGCCCGAAAGCCATGAAAACCCCAGGCTGCGTGGGGGTCTCCTCCGCCATGACCCGCTCCTCCTCGGCCCTCGGGGCGCCTTCTCTTGTGAGCTCAAGCCAGAGTTTGCGGTGGCTGACCCGGGGCCCCGCGCGCGCTCGGACACTGCGGGCACCAAGGGAAAGTGCAGAGCAGGGCCGCGCGCGGCGGACGCGCACCTTCCCGCGGGCCGGCCTCCCGCGCGCAGTTAGTGCCAAACCCTGGAAGCCGCTGCTCCACGGTGGGTACCGGCCCGGCCCTCCAGCGTACAATCGGGAACCCCGGCCCTGCGGAAGGACAATATGTTGGCAGCATGCTAATTGCTTTAACCTAGTTTCAGACCCACCGAGGGGTTCCCCGCGCGCCGCGGGTGCTATGGACGTCGTCCAAGAGCAATTAAAGCGAGGCCGCCAGGCCGACCCCGCAGCGCGGCCCAGCCAGACACGGGGAGATTCTGAGTCTCGAAGCTCCCAGGAGGCGCTTGGCCATGGACGCTCTCACCCCTTTCAGCCATAGCTGTCTCTCCAGTCCCTCCCCCGAAGAGATGGAGATTTCACACTGGAGTCAGAATTTGGGAAAATCGAGAAAATAATTCGATTTTGTCCTGTATTAGGGTCTCATTAAACACGAAAGTTGCTTTTGCACAAATGCTTCTATCAGGCATGTAATCTCATTACACTCATTAGAAAGTCAAATGTTAGGCAGACTTCTCCTTAATTATAAGTTATGTAAGTATTGTACGTTGCCTTGGGCTGTGTAGACCTGCGTTTCAATTGGATTGGCTAATGTGGCACTCCACAGTTAAAACACTACAATCATTGTGGTGTGGCACCTTTTATTTTGCGTGCCACTTTTTTTGTGATTCAATGCTTCAACACATCCTTTAGTGCGGTGCAGATGAAGCGGAAGAGCCGGGCTGAGCCTGTAAAACACCAGGGTCTCTATCTTGTCACTCTTCTGTCCTGACTTGGCAAGTCCTTTTAAACACAACCTTCAAAGAGACTGACAGCTTCTTTTTATTTACTCATAATCCATTCATTCTAGTGTAGCAATTCTTTAAAAAAATGGGGCAGTAAAAGCAGAACAAACGTATCATTTCAGAGTCTCCTTTGGCGTCAGAGAGGCGTGAGCTGTGCCTGGTGCAGGAGCTGGTCTCCTTGTGGCAGCGCCACGCTGAAGAGCCTCTGGACTAGGGCATCTGGCCAGCAAACACAGCAGCCTGGCACTGGAAGCATCAGTATGGGGGCACTTTCTATGAGTGACAGGTTGATTTCAGCATTTCTTCTAAGTCAACACTTTTCTTCCAACTTAAATAAAAAGT